AAAAAACATACCCAAGTTGGCCATTCTGATCTCCGGGTCGAGATCGCTACCGGGAATTGTGTTCTGAAAAGCCAGCGTCGCATGCCTCACCGCTCTGATTGTGCTCCTGCGTTTGGCCCCCGCGAAGACGACCCGGAAATCAGTGAGCAGGAGAGCCAGACGTTGCCGTTGAGGCAGGGTCATGCCTGGCAGGGGTATCCTCTCCGACATAGCTGTCTGCAGTTCAGAGGCCCACTTCTGTTCGATTGAGGACTAAAGATATAAGTACATCATTATCAGTACATTTGGGGGAGATGTACAATACGCCCTAACAGGCCGACATGTGCGAAAGATTCATACTCACTCGCTAATCGGCATTCAGTAAGGTCGCAATACTGATTATCGTGTAGTATATTCTGAAGTCATTTTCGTCACCAGAGGATGCCGGCTTTTTAACGAGCACCTTTCTGACCGCTAAAAAAACGTTTGTACTGTAAAAAGGGGCTACTTAAATAGTATGCACTTTTACTATTGATTTTGACTGCTTTTATAAAGTCAAATATATTTTAAGGAAAAACATCCACGAAAAAATTCTTTCTTGTACTCCTTTGGTAGCAAAGTACGCCTTCTTAAAATTTTATACTTAAAGAAACAGTATCTTTCGGTTTTAAAAAATTTTCTGGATTGCCGAATAATTTTGAAACCGACCTACTGCTGCCCCGGAATTCAAGCTTCACAAACTGCGCGCTGTGTACATCCTGTTAAGAGAAAATGAATTCTTTTGCCAATGTTTTGAGGAAGAAGACACATAGTTCTCATAAAATATTGCAATAGATGTAGATCATGATGTATACATTAAAGGCAGTATCAATAAATTGACGGATACGATGTATTCTGAATGAACACCTCACAATCGCAAAAAGTTCATAATAAGTTCTTTACGAATAAAATTTAAAGAAGGCTTCTTGTGTTATGAGAAAAATTGTATCGCAGTTTATTGGTGAGGCCAATTGACATCAGCGCATGAGGTGGAACGTAGTTGAGAAAGAGTAGATAGTGAAAAAACTCCTTGGGATTTTTGGGAAAAAAAAACTGTCGTTCATGTGGGGAGATCAGAAAACAAGAGCAGGAAACCTTCTAAGTTAGGGTGTTGGTTCTATTTGGTTGCAAGTAGTGGCCCCGAGTTTGGGTGCAATTTCAAATAAGCTTAAAACAAATAAGTCGGCTCGACTTATACGAGAAATAGCGTTTATTTCGTCTAAAAAAATCGGCAGAAGTGTCATTGATAATGCCTCTCACATACGCATATTCCCAGGCTCGTGTCTTAGGGTTAGGGCAACGATTGCGTATAACAAAATAAGCAGGTATTTAGGTATAGCAAAATACATAATTGCAATTAGCCTTTCTCTTCTTCCCAACGAACCAATTACTTTTATAGTGGTACCATAGCCTTTAACTTTACGTAAGCTCATCTGAGCTGTCATTCGTTACGTTTCAGTTATCAGGGTTAGCCTTTGCCGGGCCGGTAAGACGCAAGCCTGGGGCTAAGCGTATATAAGGTGCGCTACTAATGATACATCTGCCCAAAATCTATAAGAGAGCTCTTTTATGAGGTTTTTTCCAAAATTTCTAATATGGAGAAGAGTTTGTCTTTCAACAACAACAACACGGAAATAGCGTCCACTTATATTTCTTGATTGAAGCATGGGATATTGAAATTCCGTTTGTTATACCGCTCCGACTTAGGGATCAGGTGAGCGGTAAGGCAGTGACGAACAACCATTATCGTGGGAAGAACGTTCACATATCAGTCTATGGCACATACTCATTCCGTGTCGCCTAGAAGCCCAACTGAGGACCATCGTAGGCAGTCGTAG